GAAATTAAGTCACCTCTTTTTCTTTTCTTCTTTTTTCTTCCCCCCCCCAGATTGATGTGACTTCTTTTGTTAAAAATTGCCACACAGATACATGCAACTGCAATCTTGGTGGGGACTGTGAATGTTTGTGTACCAGTATTGCAGCTTATGCCCACAAGTGCTGCCAGCAAGGAGCAGCGATTCACTGGCGATCTCCTTTGCTCTGTGGTATGTACCTGGGCTGGCCGTGCACTGCAGCTCATGTCTGAGGCATCTATGGCAATTTGCTGCCCAATAATACAAATATGACAGAAGCAGGTGGATAATAAATGTAATAGATGTAAAAGTAATGAAGGCTGTGCTCAGGGTGTGCTAGCGTAGAGACTGTTGGAAAGGTACCAGTATAGCAGATCTAGGGTATGTCCAGTGTTCTGTGTAGGCCTGCAAAGAGATCTAGTCCATGCTTTTCATTGACAGCAAGAAGGATTCTTGCCTGTATAATAATTGATGCTTCAGGTCTCCTGTCCTGGCACATCTCTTTAAATACAGCTGTATATGAACGAGCAAAGGTCTAAGGAAATAGAGTCACTGACTGAAATGCATTGTGGGAGATAAAACTTCCTCTGCTGAAAGTGAACTCTACATTTTTAGGATGGGGATATGCATGGATTCTGTTGTTACTTTTTAATAATAATGTGCCTGTTTTCTTTTTCCTTTAGCTTATGACTGTGAATATTACAATGAAGGTATGTAGTATTTGATATTTCCGTCTTTTATTCATCCTCATATTTGCATACCTTGCTGAATACTCTTACTCTTCCTATTTTCTAGCATTGCAGTTAGCTATGTGTCACAAACAAGTCTGTACTTCCCGGTTCTAAAATAGAATCCATTATTATGAAGAATTTAGCTGCAGATAAGTCATCATATCAACCACTCCAGAATACAGAAGGCATCTTTGATATACTATTCTATCAGTTTTCTTTCTGTATGATGATATTTTGAGATATTTCTCTCTCTCCGTCTTACTTACTTTGTTTCTCTTTTTAGAAAAAATACCCAAGAGGCACTTTCCTTATTTCACTCAGACTAACCCTGGAAGAAAATATAGTTTGGTAATTTCTCTCTTTCACAGGTTAGAGTGGTTTGTTTGGGGTTTTTTATACTCCTGATTTGGGTATGTGAGTTAAATGAACTCAGCAAGTTAGCAAAACAAGTCCCCATGGGCCTTTCTGCCTATGTCTAGGCAACATGGCAACAACCATGGTAGCTGTAAGCAAAGCAACACACCTGGCATCTCAGATTAAACATGATACGGTGCACACTGCAAATAAACCTCTTTGTAGCTTGTGCTAAGAAGAATCTCTGTCAGCTGCAGCAGTGTTGGAGGCTCTCTCTTCACTGTTCTCCCTGATCCCTAGGGTAGGATTGCAGAGTCACAGTCCCTTGTGCAATATCTCATTAATTACTTGAGATTTGTCCTGTATAAACACAGACAATCCTACATTAGTAAGGAATTCAAATATTGACACATTACGGTGCATCTTAGAAGGTTTTACACAGGTTTTACCATTTTCACCTCAGTCTGCCTTTGGCACAGGGAAATTCAAGTCCTTTCCTCCAAAAATGAATGGTGTGGATATATTGCATCTCTGATGATAGTGAGTTAAGATTAATGAGAAAAATTTTGTATGAGTTTTTATTAAAAATAAAAGAAAAAGCCTCATAAATTTTATGAACATTTACCACACTATCCAATTTTCTTCCAGGTTTTCATTCTGAAGTGATCTGCTTTGTTTTATTTTTGCTTCTTTCATTGACATATAAAAGAGATTGCTTTGGTTCAAATCAAAACTCAGTTGAATTAATTTATGGGCTTTTTCTTTGACTTGTGTAAGTAGTTTTAACTTGCTTCTATTTTTATGAGTGAAGGTCAGTGGCCCAGCTGTGATGAGTGATCTTAGTAATCGCTAATGCCTCAGTTAATGATCTCATAACGTTCAATGTGGGTGTGGATTAATGCACCATACAGCATATTGTAGCAGTCAGAGAGAAGCTCTAGAAGGATGTTAGCTTGTGCTTATACTGTAAATTTCAGAACTGGGACCTACAATATTTTGAAATTGATAGGTTGCAGGATTTTATGCACAAGTCTCAGAAGTATTGTACTGTGAAGAACAGTTCCTTAGAATGACAGTGGCATTCATTTGACAAAATTAATTCCTGTGTCATCTCTAATATTTGGATATTGTGCATGTGCTTTGTAGGGAGCAAGACATTGAAGAGGACAGGAAACTTGACTAAATGCAATGATATGAATGTGACTTTTAATATATCATTTTAGTGACTTGCATCCTATAATAAGCATCATATAGAGATGATTTTTTTTCTCTTCCTGTCTGGTCCAGTACAGTATCAGCACATAGATCTTGCTAGATATAGCTGACTTTCCATAATTTCTTTGTAGCAGGTAATTTTATCTTACTCAAAAAGGTTTGAGGACATGGTTTAAGGGTGAACACCATGATGGTGGTAGGTTGACAGTTGGACTTGATCTTAAAAAGCTTTTCCAACCTTAATGATTCTATGATTCTGTGAAAAAGTAGTAAGGAGTAATGGTTTTGGCTTGGATAGAGCTAAATATCTTCATAGAATTAATATGATGATGTATTTTGGATTTGTGATGAAAATGGTGTTTTAGCTATTGCTTACACAGCGTCAAGGCTTTTCCTGGTTCTCATGATGCTCCACAAGTGAACAGGCATTGGGGGTGTACAGGATGTTGGAGGGAACACAGTTGGGACAGCTGACCCCAACTGACCAAAGGGATGTTGTAGAACATGTGATATTATGTTCAGCAATGAAAACCGGGGAAAAAGTTTGCTGGGTCTGGCTTTGATTGAGATTCAGCCAGGTATTGGTCAACTGGTGGTGAGGAATTGGAGTTTTTTACATCACTTTTCTTGCAATTGTTTTCCATTTTTTCTTTTTCTTTCTTTCTTTAAAATCAAAATCCAAACCAAACCAATATGGAACTGTCTTTATTTCCACTCATAAATTTTTATTCAGTTCTTCCCCTTTGATTCTTTTGGGGGGTGCCTAGCTGCCTTACATGGTTAAAGTCAAGGATGGCATTAGGCATGTTTCCACTAGCAAGTGGAACCAAGTGGACAATTAAGACTGAAGTTTTATAAGTAATACAATGAGGATTTTTCTTTTTCTATTTGAATTTTCTTCCCTTAGGTCTTGGTGAAGGACCCTATATTTTGGCAAGTTTCGGAGCAGAAGGCACAATTATAGGGGCTAATGTATCCAGTAGAAGGATATTTCCCCTACCTAGAACTGGAGCATATGGAAATGTAATTTTCAGTTTCATGGTAACTCCAGGTCTTTTCAAAGATAAAGATTCATGTAAGTGTTCTCAGCAGTTTTGCTAATGGCTGTATACATACATACGTACATACATATATATATATATGTATCTCAAACTGTATGAATGATTTTTGCTGTGTCTTCTAAATCTCCTAAAATAGTATAGGTATTTTTAGTTAGAGGAATGAGAGAGGATGAAGTGGCCAGTTTCAAAACCGAGGAGGAATTATTTATTTATTTATTAGATATTAGAAAACATCACTGCCAGCTTTAAAGCTGACTTTTCAAATATTATTTTAGAAGTATTGCAAAATACAAGGGAATAGAATACTTTTGTGAAAAACATAATTAGTTTCTATAACTGGAAACTGGAAAATGTTGCACATGTATCTAGCAAGTATCAACACTGAAGGTCAAAGCAGGATATTTTTATCTCCAGTAAAATCAGTTCTATTTTATCTTTTCTTCTTTGTTATTTTCACTGGACTAGAAAATGTGCAACTTAGAATGATAAGTCTGGTTTTTGCATTGTTGGTAAGCAGCATTTCCATACAATGTACGAGGCAGTTTCTTAGGTGAACAGCTATTCCTAAGCTCTATTTTTCACTTATCAGGGACTTAACCAAACTATACAACCAAACTAAATATGTTTAAATATTCATTCTTCCTTATATATTTTCCTTTCTTCACATATATTGAATTTGTGCCAATTAAGTCAATACAGATATGGTCATTGTTTTCTCACATAACTTAATTTGTTGAAAATATCCCAAGCCCTCAAAAATCAACATAGAGAAGGGCTTTTCTTCACAGAAAAAAAATGAAACTAAGTTTACACACATTTGAAATTTTTGCAGTTGGAAAATTAAGTTTTTAGATGTTATTTAAAGATGAAAAATACGTAGAAAAGAAGAATTAATTCAGTCTTGTCAATTCTCCAGCTGATGTAAAGTGGAAGTAAAACATTCATTTTAACTGTGCAGTGCAAAGGTAGTTTCAATTTCTGTGAGGAATGAGATAGTATTCATCTAGATTAAAGAAACTTCAAGACTTCGTTCAAGTTGAATATCAAGTATGAAGTCAGTCTTGTTACAAGTTCTTACATTTTCAGGTAATTTTCTTCACTTTTGATTTCTGGCATGAGTAGAGCAAATAGAGGGTCAAGTCTCTCATATGGCCACAGGTTTTCTTATTGTATTGCTGGATATGTCTGTATATAAAAAAACCCTGACCTCAAGATGAAGTCAAGCATGTTTTTACAATGTGATGTTATTTACTAATAAAATTTTGGTATAGCTGAACTGTCAGACAGTGGTTCAAACTTGAACAAAACCTCCCATATTGAGCAAGTTCCAAGACTGCTTATGATTAATTTTGTAGGCTGAATGTAGTTTTGATCTGACTGATTAGCTCCCTGGTGGATATGAATTATACGATCACTTGAAGTCTCTTTTAGACCCTGCACTGCATTTCTAACTCTCTTTTCTGTAGCATAAAGCTGAAATATTTTGTTTGTGAAAAGCAAGTGTTTAAAAGGAGACACTTCACAGTCAATATACAGGTTTTAATCTCAATTTTATATTGTTTTCTATGAAAATCTTACTTTATCTTTTTCTTCTGTGGAAGCCCTCTCTCTTGTTTCCCTTGAATCTGCTGAAAGACCAAACTACTTTCTGTATGTCCGTGACAATGGAACTGTTGGGTTGGAACAGTGGCAGGCAAGTGCCTCCTTTCAGAGACGAGCCACCTTCTTCCACCACCAGGGTCTCTGGGGTCCAGGGCTCAGTGCCTTTGAACTGCACAGTAAAAAAGGCTTTTTCATCATTCTCTCATCATCTGGTGTTAAAGTGGCAAAGTATGATGATTCAGAAGAATTCAAACGTTTCAGTAGCTTTAGCATTGAAGGTAAGTGTTGTGTAATCCCCAGGGATAAGTATTCTTTTTCTGCTTGCTTTCAGAGCACTTGTCTTTCATTGGCAGTAGTAACAGATATTTTTAATTACTCTCTGTCTTCCATTCCATCTCAAAATGCCATTATTTTCTAATTTTTGCAGATATGATGGTCACTTTAGCTTTGAACTATGTTTTCATTGGTTTACGCCTTCAAAGTGAAAGTGGCATGTCACAAAATGATGCATGTCAATATCTTATTAGTGATAATAGATATCTATTATTTTAAACAAATTGTGTAATTGTATTGCTTCTGCAACCAACAGCATCTTCACTGTGTTTAACTGGTTTTTTAGAGGTTTTAAACCAGAATATGTTGTAAAAGTGAGTAACTGTATTGTTGAAGCTTAAAATCTCTTTTAGCTTGGATGAATTTAAAATACTTGAAACTAAACAAAATCTGACCTACCTGAAAGTACTGAAGAATTTGTCTACTTGGTTTTCATTTTTTCATTTATATGAAAATCCCAATGTATGTTATAGAACAGGCTGTAAATTTACTGTTTGTTAACTGTATAATAATAAATAATACCCTTTCTTTCTTTTTTCTTAGAACTCAGCGCTTCTGTGCCTTATCGAAGGATGTGTGAATGGCGATATGAATCCTGTTCTAATCCTTGTTTTAAGACATGTAGTGATCCTGAAGGAGTAGCATGTAAATTCCTTCCTCTGTAAGTAAAATTAAGCTCATATTGCCACTGTATTTTCTTTTTAATATGCATACCATATGCTTTCTGAAAGTTATTGCAGTAGTAATATCTATTAATTTTTACTCATCCAGTATCACTCTTGGGAGAAACTCTCACAAGTCATATGAAAACATTTGAAATAAGCCTCTCGTTTCCCACGGTATATATTCCTGTTTACATGTGATCTTTCACTACAAGAATAAGAGGCTTGTATTTAGCCCAGAGGATTAACTTCTGGTGGTGGTTAAGCAGAAGGCTCTTAAATTAAGTGAACGCTATTTCCTTCTATGGATTTATATTCACATCCCAAACCATGATGCTAAAATGACTACATCTTTCTGGTGTTTGTAGGACAGAGCTCAAAAGCTGTAGGAATAGTAAGGGAGTACTATGCCCTCTCCTGTAAGAGGAAGGAACTTTTTTATTGAGGTATTCACTGGCGTGAAGAGAGGGATTTCACATGGGTGATGTTAGCTTGTAACTGAGTAACAAGATTTCCTCTCTCCACGGTCCTCCTCTGGCGTCTCTGGAACCACAACAAATTAAAAGGAAAAAGACCTAAAAGCTCAAGGCACAATGTGGTGGAAAAGAAAGGATATTTTGAATTTCAGACTACTGCCTTAGGCATATGCAGTTCATGATTAGTAATATTATTAATATTACAAATTTTTTAAGTTGGTACTTTTAGCTTTTTTCATATGGGCATACTGGTTGTTGATATCATGATTTTCTTATTGAAATGTCCCCTACAATGAAAAAGTGTGGGAATATATGAACTTGTCTGCACTCTCCTATGATGAAAGTGCACAAGAAAAATACTTTCTATGGAGTCAAAATATTTTAATGTCTCAAATGAATATATCTGGCAGTCTTGTAGAGCAGTTCATTATTCTGTGGAAAGCACTTCTACTTAGGGATCTAAACTCCCACCTGATTATGGAAGCAGAATGGTCTAAAGCTATAATGTTCATCAGCCCATGCAAAGACTTGATTATGAACAATGTAGAAACAGAATTGTGCTGTTCGATAACTTTGTGACCTTGAAAAGCCTCAAAATGCTTTGTTCACCATTACACTGGAAGCTTCTCAAAACTCTGACAAGGAAGACTTTCAAATGTTTTATTTTGCCAAAGTAAAATAGTTTAAAATTCATTTATGCTTCTACTGTGGCTTTAGAATTGACAATACAATATTTTACAGAGTTGAAGGATGCATGCCATACTGTCCCAAAAATATGATCCTCGATGAGGTCACACTTAGATGTGTTTATCCAGAAGACTGTAAGTGTATTTTATTTTACTGGTCTGATCTTATAAATTACAATAGAGATCCCAGGAAAGGTTTAATCAAATGTACATTTAAAAAAAATAAAACACTTTATCAAAGTTTCTCTCTGTTGAAGATTCTCTCTGGGGCATAGACTCTATTCCCAGCCATCAAAAATACAGCTTCTACATTCAAACAAACTATGTTTAAAGTTGCACTCTTTCATGTCTCTAGTAGTGTGTTAAATTTAACTTGTTGTGGTGATGTGGTACTTATCACAACTATATTTGAATATATAATGTTAGTATATTAAACGTATATAACAGAAAGATCCTAAATGAAAGAAATACTGCTGTGACCAAAAGGTCTGTCTTTTCAAATGATGGGACACCACTAACAAATTCAATGCACCTATTTAATAACTTCTGGTGTGTAAAGATACCACATTATTTGCTTATTTTAAGGGATGCAGTATTCTCTTAGCATTAAAATTGAATTTTAATACTGTGTCTTATTTTATTTTACAAATTTTGAATTAAATATATTATGCTTGATATTTGCTACTATGAAGTTATCTCATATAAGTATACTGCCTTCCAAATTTGTAATGTATTTATTGCAAATATTTTACTATTTTGGATTTACTTAATTTTCTATGGAGTTCCCTTCTTGCTTCAAAACTGCTCTGCAAAATCAAGGTTTTCATGAAAAATAAAAAAATTAACTACTTCATTTGCAAAGAAAATTAGAAAGCATCTTGGGTCAGCTGAGTTCCTCAAAGTCATCAGGCAACCTGGAACCATTGGAGAGATCTGATTTTCTAATATTTAAATGGGACTAGAGTAGAGATAGATGTTGCCATTTTGCTTTACTAATAATCCCTAAAAGACAGTGAAACATGCCTTTTTCCTTTTAGGCATACCTGTGACACCTACAGAATCAGAAATTGGAACGAAACCTCCATTGTTATTCTCTCACATGGGTGCTACCACAGAGGGATTTTCTCAGACACCTCCTTTCTTTGTTACTTCAGGGAACGAATCAACTCATATCGGTGTGACAGAGAAAGTAACCATGAAAGCAAACACAACTTTAAGGGGAATGACTATCTCATCACAGTCCATTACAGACTTTTATGCATCTCATACAGCCACCTATTCAACAGTTTCATTACCAAGTACACTGGAGCCTTCTGATGTACTTCATAGCACAGCCAGCCCTACTGTCCTTTCCAAAATCATCTCTTCAACAGATTTTCCAACTCTTCTTCAAGCCTCAGCAGTCACATCACATACTGTCAGTTCTAATGCACCTATAGCTTTACCCATTACAATAGCAACTCCAACAAGGCTGCTCAGCACAAGTCCTGTTCCAACACATTCTGCCTTATTAGCACCCACTTCCCAAGTGGTAGTTCCATTTTCACATGAAACATCGACCTCTCAGCTAGGAACACTTCATCCTATCTCAGCACTAACAAATTTAACCTCCGAGCCATCTTTTGTCACTTCTGAGCTGCCTGCAGGGATTGGGAAGGAGTCCTTCAGTAAGTCATTCTAAGGCAACAGAAATATCTTGTGAAATGTCCTTGTCTGCTTTGCTGGCTGGCAGAGCAACTTTCACAAGACCTGTATTTCTTGGTTCACATTTGACACTAAGCACATCTACTTCTTCAGTATCTACTTCTCCTATATATACTTTGCCTGTTAGAACTAGGTCTGGCATTGGCCAAACTGCAGTTCACTCAACACCCTTTTCTGCATTGACTTCAACTGCTTCTCAAATTCCCGTGACTACTGATTTGCTAGCTATGAGGCAAGTTTTCCTCAATTAGTCACAGTTTCATATTTCAAAACAGCAAAACCTTTGTCTAAAACTTCTCTGTTATCATTAAATGCAAGTTTTTCAGCTAGTTTTTCTCTGAAGCCATCTTTGTCTTCAGTGCAAATTTCAGTGACTATTCCCAAGCAAACATCTCGGTTCAAAAAAAGGCAGTATTTCTGCTGTTCTGCCAATAATAACTGCATCTTCACCTCAAGTTGCTTCTCAAATCCCTATAAACACTTCTTTGAGTCCTGCTGGAACATGCACAGTATCTATACCAGTGCATTCTCTGATTATCTCCCTGAATCCCAAAGGTATGTCAGATGTCACCGTTGCCGCCAAAAGTCTTTGTAAAGTTCCTTCTGCTGTTTCTACTCCTGTAGTCAATTCAACAATCTTTAATATGTCTATAGTAAACAAAGCCTCAACAGGAAATAAGTACAAAATGTACACTGATTACTTTTCAGTGTCATCCATTTCTAGAACGCCAGTGAAATCCATTATGTCTACAGTCTTCCCTTGTAGAACATTGGTATTACCTCTAAATGCTACATCAATAACCACTCCAGGAATTACAAGCAGTTCAGATACAGAACTGAAGACTGACCCTGTGGCTCAAAGTTCAGGCACTTTTCATGCCTAAAGATATTTCTCTTACAAGGTCATCCTCTTTATTTGCAACCTTGTTGTCAACGTCAGTACCATCCTATGTGACATCTCAGACAAGTTCTTCATTGATTTCCACAGTCACTATCACATCATCAGTAGCACAAAATATAACTGCTACCCAAGCATCAGTTTCATCTCTAGATACACAAGGAGCTTAAAAAAAATCCAGTTACACACCTTGTAACTTCTTTTGTGTATTTTTCTAAATTAAATTTAAGCATAAACCCTTCTCCGAACATTTCAGCACCACTAAAAACATCCATTGTAATGCCCTCTTTCTTAATGCCTACAACTCCTGAAGCCACTTTAGAAAGCCAGTCCAGTAGGGTCTCTATGCCTTTAGCTCCTCTTAAGACCACTCATATCTCTACTGTTTCTCTAGGAAAACAGAGTTCTCCGGTAAGTTCTTCAGAAGAAGATGGAACAATATCAGCCATATCAGCTGGAATCATCATTCAATCCACTACACCAGTGATCATGAACACAACAGTGAATGCTACATCCTCAAAACCACCTTATATTTTTGCAAAAATACCACCTAGCTCTTCAGACAGTTTATTAGTTGCTTCGGGCATTTCTGTAGCCTCTAGGATTACTACAAAAACCACTGATTCTTTTGTTACCGATTTGGATTTTTATATGGCTTCAGCTTCAGTTCCTACCACCATAGAAACACACAAATCTTTATTTACAACTGCAGTAACTCAAGCTTCACAGAGCATTAAAGAAACTCCAAAAATTATTAGAATGAAAACAATTGGTACTACAAGTCCATTATCACAGATGAAGAGTTCCTCATATGCAGCTTCAGAAGTTAAATATGCAACCACATATGAAAGAACAGTGGATATTTCAGAAAGTGGTCAGACTTCACATGAGCAAAGAAATACAGCCTCAGTAAAAGATATCTCTCTTTCTGAAGTCCCAGAAGTAACAACAATCCCAACACAGAAACCAATTAAACCTTATTTTAGTTTACCAGAGCCCACAGAGTTGCAGACCAGGACTATAATAGATTTATCTCATTCTAGTGGTGGAATGGCTCTGCCTTCCTTTTCAGAAACGACGGCTGTAGCTGACAAGGATTACTTTGGTACGATGTTGCATACACTGATGTCTACATCCTCTGAGTGTGTGGTATGATCAGTTTTGCTTCCCTCTATATGTTAAAATGTGTATTACTTGTCAGTCCATTCTGTTATGCTATGTATGTAATACCATAGATTTTAAATAGTTCCTATTTTCTATTTAATTTGCATATTTTAAAATACTCAGTTGTTCTTGGAGTATAGTTTTATTGCTGCTCTTACATTGCCCTGGTATATCCTGCAACTTGGATGTATTGCTCTGAAGAAAAAGGCTTTTAAAGCTATGTGCTCGTTCCAGGTAGCAAAATATATTTCTGAGGTGCAGAAAAAGACAATCTATGGATTTTTGGGGTTTCTGCGTAATCTCACTCTGTCTTTCCTTTTTCTATTTGTTTCTTTGTCATAGGGTTTAAAATGATGGGAATGCATGATTTTGTGTGTCTTAAAATACTTCAGATTATTAGTGACTATAACATGTAGCCTCAATGCATAATGCTTTACACAGGGTATTCCACCAAAGCTAGATGGAACAGGAAGTGTGTAGGTGAATGGACATGCATTGCTGTTACCTGTTACAATCACACAAATGCAAATCATTCCAAAATAACTGATGAGGGGTCAGGGAGATGTGCTGATTCCCTCTCAGAGCAGGAGGATGAACAAGTAACTTGGACTTCATAAGGGCAATGAAATCAAAGTTGACTCTGGTTGTTTTTTTCCTTATCTAACAGCCAAGATACCTCGAACCTCTCGACAAATGTAGCCAGTTTGTATGTTTAAACATGGGTTGGTTGTTATACAACCTTTCAAGAAACTGCCCTAAGGATGTGCAGATGCCAGATTGTGGTTTTCGAGGAATGCCAGTTCAAGTTAACGCTGATAGTTGTTGTCCAGAATGGGAATGTCCCTGTAAGTCACTGTTTTATTTTTAAATAAAACATAGAGCCTTGATACATAAATTTCAAGTAATAAATTAAAGATTTATCGGAGTAGGAATATGAGGTTGAATACTGGAATGAATTAAAAAGAGCTGTTCATCAGCGAAACAAATGTTTTGGTATCTTTGAATCAACACTCAAGAGAGTCAAAATATTTTGTTTGAATGAAAACATTGAAATGAAATCTGCAACATGAACATCAATATTTTCCAGCTGAGACTTTTCAGAAATTCTATCAGTAGATATGTTAAGATTTCAGCATTTTGTGAAGAAAATCAAATTTTATACTAGCCTTTTCTGAAAGACAGAACCCCCAAATTTCAGTTAGCTCTAATTGCCGTTTTTACTCATGCTTAGAAACTGCCAAAACTGGCACATGAGTATCTGCCAAGGGAACAAAAAGGGAACAAAAACCTTGCAGCATTAATGAAACCCATATCACACGTTATATTTGTTTCAAGACGGGACAGATAAGTCCTTTGTTATCAGTATCTCAATATATATATATTTAAATGCCTATATTTTCTTACACTGTACAGATTCATTTACCTTGCCTGTAAAACATTGACTTAAGTGAAATTTTCACCAGTTTAAGCATTCTGCCCTAAGCCTGGGCACACAGCAGTATGTTAAGGTATTTCCACTGACTAGCCCAAACACTTGCATGGCTCAATATGCTGTCTGCAGAGCAAGGTCATCAATATATATATGAACCTATACGTGAAAGCAAACAATGCTAGAACTGAAAGTTTTTAGGTATGCTCTGTATTTGGTTTTGTGGTAACCTCATTAAATGACAGTTCTTTTTTAGGTCAATGTTCTGTACTGTCCGAACTGAGTATTATTACATTTGATGGAAACAACGTAGCCCTCTGTAATATGGCTTCCTATGTTTTAGTCAAGTTGCCGGTAGAAACTATTGTTGCTCATATTGAAAAATGTCCTGCTAATCAGGTAAGATTCTTGCAAAAATGACAAGTTATTTAACTTTCAAGGAGTGTGCTTAATCATGCTGTCTAGATAAAGGAATTTCATCTCAGGTTAAATAGTAATTGTTGTGTTATATTATAAAGAAATTCAAATGTAGGTTCCTTTTAAATTAGCATAGGTGACATAACTTGTGATTCTGTATGTTTCCTTTCAGGCTCCCCACACACAAGTTTTATCAAAACCTTGAATTTATACTTTACAATATGGTCAAAATGCTAAAACAGAATAGTCAGAATAATTATTCGGTAGTGATTTTAGGAAAGTATTAATGACTTTGGGATTAGTGTGATGAGCTGGTTTTTGTAGTTATCTAACTCTCTGCATTACCTAAAGAGGGCATCCAGCCACTTTATTTGTAGACTGCCAGTTGAGATCAGGTCAATCTCATCCTTAGAGTCCGTACATACCTTTCTTTGCATTGTCCATAGTCCTAATTTATGCAGCCCTTGAGCAATTGGCTTGCATTTCTGGCTGGAGTTTGTGGATAAACAAGTTACTGATGAGGAACTTCAACAGACTTCTTTCCTTCCCATCCCTCTTATTTCTCAGTGGTACACTTGTACTTTAAGACTGTTAAGTGTGACAGTCTTGCACTGTTTTAGAGGTTTTCTATTAAACTGCTCTCTCATTACTTCTTGGTTGTGGTCTAGAGGTGTGAGTGAAGAACATATAGGCAGATGAGCTTTAGAAGTCTGTAGCTAAGAAATATTTTCTTGAAAAGCCTTTCAGTACATGCACTACATTATCTGGGAAATGTGTTTTTTTATTATTTCTAATGAATATATTAAACTAGTTTAATTATTTAGCTGATTGTAGAAGAACTTTAAAGACAAATAAAATAATCAACTTATTTTTGCCAAATAAAAATGCTGCTAATTATCATTGCACTTCTAATCTATTTTTAATGTTTTCCAGAGTGCAAATTCAATAAGAAAACTAGTAAGTACTTGTTTGTTTTACTCCCTGTAAAGTGCAATAATATTACATGAATTGAAAAAAATTCCCAATAGCACTGGCACAGAATTAGAAAAACAATAGTAACTAAACTTGTTTGTCACTTTTCTTTCAAGGTTCCACCTTCAAACACTTCAGGGCTCTGTTTTAAGAAATTAAATGTCACAACACAAACATGTAATGTACTTATCAATCGTTTAGCAAGAAAAGTAAGTACATATCAACGGTATATAGCATGTGTACACTTAAAAATAACTGGAGAGCTATTCTATTGTAGAATGTAATAAATCAGAATTAAAATTAAATATTAAAGGTTTGGGATTACTTGTGCAATTCAGGTTCCCAGTAATTCATGGTATGCTAGAAGCAAAGCAATATACATTTCTGATACCATGCTTCACTTATATGTCATTTATCCAAAACGACACTTCAAAGTTATTTTGAGGTTTAAAAAAAGCTGCAAAAGCAGTTGTGCCTGAGACTATACTTCCAGAAATGTTCCAAGATATGATAGCTAATTAAACTGCCTTTCCTGCTAGTCAATAATAAGTCAGAACAGATAACTTTGAATAATTGGAATGAGGTTTTGTTGATAAATGCAATATATGATAAATAAAATTTATTGCCTCCTTAATTTGAAAAGATTTTGTTTCTCATGTCTATTTTATTTGCAGTTATAGGAAATGGCACTGATGGGAAACTGTGATTTAAGCAGTGTGACTGTTGTATGTGACAGAGGCTGTAAAAAATATCTTTTGCTATAAAACATAAATACATCTTTGCAATTTGTTTTTTTTTTTAATCCCTAAAATGTGTTTGGTCTATTTTAGGTAGTAGTGGATTCTGTAATTCAACCATTACCATTTTCTAAAGAAGGACTAAGTATTCAGGATACTGGTGCAATGTATGTTGTTAATACCCCTGCTGGTATCAGTATCAAGTGGGCTCATCTTACAGGCATCATAGATATACAGTATGGATTATACTCTAACACATCGATGAAGACAGAAGGACTTTGTGGTGAGGCTATGGTTGTAATTTTTTTCTTACTTAACAACTTCCCATTGAAATTTGCAGCTCCCTTTTGTGTCTGTGACCTGCTGTCCTCACAACCCTCACCATGACCCTCATTAACTATGCTGAAAATCCTGTTTGAGGTGGATTTGTGAAATTCTATCAATTAATAATAATAGATTGATAATTCTGTGTCAAAGCACAGTAGTAGTCTGCAGAACAAGTAGTGATCAGCACACTGTAGCTAAACAATTTTTAAAAAATGTACTTTTTCTGCCTGTGTTTCACAGAAACACAGAATGGGCCAGATTGAAAGAGACCATGGTCGGTCATCTGGTCCAACCTCCCTGCTCAAGCAGGATTATCCTAGAACACATTGCACAGGATTGTGTCCAGATGGTTCTTGCATATCTCCAGGGAGGGAAACTCCACAACCTCTGTGGACAATCTGTTCCAGTGCACAGTCACTGGCACAGTAAAGAATTATGTCTCATATTCAGGTAGAACTTCCTGTGCATCACTTTCTGCCCATTGCCTCTTGTCCTATTGCTTGGCACCACTGAGAAGAGCCTGGTTCCATCCTCTTGATATCCTCCCCCCTTCTTGAGGTACTTATAAACATTTATGATGTTCAGCTCAGTTGTCTCTTCTTGAGACTGAACAGGCCCAACTCCTTCAGCCTTTCTTTGTAGGTGGGTTGCTACTGTCCCTTAGTCATCTTTGTTGCCCTCTGTTGGACCTACTCCAGGAGATCCATGTCCCTCTTGTACTGAGGAGCCCAGAACTGGACACAGCAGTCCAGATGTGGCTTCATCAGGGCTGAGTAGAGGGGCAGAATCACCTCCCTTGATCTGCCTGGCAATGCACCCCAGGATACCATTGACCTTCTTGGCCATGAGGGCACACTGTTGGCTCATGGACAGTTTGTGGACCATGAGGAAGCCCAGTTCCTTCTCCACCTTCAGCAGGTCGGTCCTCAGCCTGTACTGGCACATGGAGTTGTACCTTCCAAGGTGCAGAACCCTGTTGCCCTTATTGGATTTCAAACAGTTCCTCTCTGCCCATCTCTTCAGCCTCTCAAGGTGCTTCTGAATGGCTGCACAGCCCCCTGGGATACTGGCCACTTCTCCTAGTTTTGTATCATTAGCAAACTTGCTGAGGAGGAACTCTACTCCCTCATCCAGGTCACTGCTGAACAAGTTAACCAATACTGGGCCCAGTATGAGAACTTTGGGGGGCACCACTAATGACAGGCCTCCAACTAGAGTTTTTAATAATATTGCTGAAGTCAAGTAAAGAAAATGGAAAATAATTCAATAGAGAAGTGTCTGCTGAAGAAGTTCAGGTAGTGACAGTCTATTTTGGTAATTATGGAGAAAAGAGTAACTGTCTGATGTTAGCACTGCCAGCTTATTGTTATGCAAATACTGACAAAAGGAATATCTTAGGAAGGGCCCAAGTGTCCTGACAATAGCAAATCTGAATGTAGACCTCTTAAGGTTGGATCTAGGGTCCAAAACTGTGCTCAGTCATCTCAGACTTGAATTCCAATGGTAGTAAATTTAGCATGTTTCAGGCTTCCCTGATAGCCTTTTTGTAACTCTGCCAGTTTGAATACTATGGAGAAGTGTAAGCAGGTGTTTCAGAATTACTTTAATTCTATCATAAATGTTCATTTTCTGGTGCATTGTGATTTTACATAATCTACTCTATGTTGAAAAGGAAAATAAACTTTTTATAATCTTTTAAACTGCTTTCAGTTTCAGCAATTCAGATATGTTTTAAATACAAATGAAACAAATGATTTCTTTAAAATTAAGTGCTATTTCCTGCTTGAACAAAAATAAAGTTGTAGATGTAGTGAGAGAAAGAGAATGCTGGCACTGCATCTTTACCCAGTATCATGCCATCTTCTCTATGCATGCTGAAAAAGAGTGGGGTGAGGGGAGGTCAAATGTAGGAAGAATTATAGAATAGTTGCTCTTCGTGTTATGGAAGGATACAAGGAGGAAGGCTATGCAGACAAATCCAATCTTCACTTTGAAATATTTCTCTACCTTTAGTGCTTCTTTCCTATTCTCTGCATTTTGCTCTTGTCTCCCTCTCATATTAGAAAAAAATTGTGAGACTATGGAGTAAATTGGCTTTGTTTTTAAAACTGTCTTGATTCTGCAATTGTGTAACATGGCTCTACAAATTCTAATGACAGCAGTTTGTGATCTGCAGTAAGAAGCAGAGGAGTTAAGAATATGGGAAAGTGGTGCTACTGTCAGATGCTTCTTATCATGCAAATAACATCTTCTATATTTCTCCATGCTGTCTGAAAGAATAACAGTCTGTCACACCACCTAGTTCTAACAAGGGACCCTGGAGAGCATCAGGCTGCAGGGCTGGAAGTGTGAAGGCAAGGGCTTAGGATGTAGTTAAAAATGTAGAAGGAACATGAAAATAAGATAACTTTGCCTAATCAGTTCCTGAGATGTAAGACCCTAGTATGAAGATTAAAGTTTTGTCATTAGTCACTTATTATGTGCTTACAGGAATGATATATTTTAATTGATGAATCAACAGGATACATACAGTAATGAATTCTGGTAGCCAGAGGATGTCAGGTGACTGGGTAGATTGCTTTTTTCAGCGGTTTTTTTACTAATAAATTGGGTAAAAACAATATTTTCTCTAGAGAAAGCAATTTGTTAATCAAAGGATTCCTTTCATAACTTCTTGTACTTAGAATGTTCAATTAAGTTTAAATACCTAGTGAAAATAATCAGTGATGTGCAGCTAATTTGCAATACTGTATCAAATAATCAGTGATGTGCAGCTAATTTGAAAGCCATCTACATTTCCTACCAAGGAGCTGACTGATGTTCCGTAGAATGAAGTCAGAATTTGGAGCCATGTCAGTGAATTTGCTACACTTAAAGGCAGTGAAGTCAGAATTTGGAGCCGTCAGTGAATTTGCTACACTTAAAGGCACATTTTGTTGGCAGTTTTTCTCAAAAGTTAATTGATTGCCAGAAAAAGTGTAATTAGTTGTATTGTGTGATGTGCTTGTTTTACTAAGCTATTGAGATGAGAACTAAAATCACAAGTAGACATTTGGAATTACAGTGGACGTGTAGCTGCTTTCATTTATAAGCTCAGGCGACTAACTTGCATGGGTCAACCTGATGCCATGTCAATCTTACTTTATCAAATGCACTTCTGTTTCCCAAAGAAAGTCATATACATGGGTCAACCTGATGCATGTCAATCTTACTTTATCAAATACACTTCTGTTTCCCAAAGAAAGTCATATGGCATGTTTGTTTGTGCTTTGAATGCAATGTTCTGACTCCAGGGGTGTGTAATGGAGATCCTAGTGATGACCTGCAAATGCAAAACATGACTATAGTTACAAATATGGAGGAAATTGAAATGTTCATTAAGAGTTGGGAAATCGAGAAATCACTTGATGTAACAACCAGGAGGCCTATAATAAACTGTACTGAAGATAACTGCTCATACTGCATGGAACTGCTAAACGGAAGCATTTTCATCCCTTGTCACAAGAAAGTGAGTACAAAGATCAGATAAATTGCAGGTGCAAATCAAATAAAACATGTATAGTTAAGAAAAAGAGCAAGAGAAATATGCATATGTTTTTAATGTTTTGCTTATTTTCATGAGCTGACAGCTGGGTGGGTGAGAGACATATGCATATGTTTTTAATGTTTTGCCTATTTTCATGAGCTGACAGCTGGGTGGGTGGTTTTAATAGTCCCATCATGTTGGCTTTAATATTTTTGTCATGTTGTCCATTGTAAATATACATCTGTCTGGATCCCTATGCTACTATGCCTGCTTTATAATTATTTAGTAGACAATTCTCAAAGGAGAGACACCAGATCATCATGTCAAGACAAACACTTTCCACAAGAGTTATTTTTATTAAAGGACTGACATGTGTCACTAGAACAGAAAGCCTCATGCAGACTCAGGCAGTCTGAGACTGGCTGAACTGAAGAAATCTCCAATTAAATTAATTTTGACATGGTTACTGTTATGTTGAAAATTTGGTAGAATTTCTTACAGAAATCTTTCTGAAACTGTACTTTCTATCAGGAATCTAGCTGTAGCATGCACACTGCCAGTAGAAGTGGGTAGTGCAGCGTAGCTGTTCCCCAGAATTGAAAATGAGGAAGCCACAAATCTCTGAGGTCTGACTGCCTTTCCCCACTTTATTTAAAAAAAAGAGATTAATTACTCAAGTGGCCCTTTCTTTCTCAGAGACAGATGTGTTCAGATTCCTGATTCACTTCTTGTTGTTCTGCTTTTCCATCCTTGGGTTGCATTGTGTTACACTTTAGTTTTGTCACAAACAAAAGCTGTTCAAAGTATTGCAGGCAGCTGAGCCCCTTCCTTCAAATTCCAAAGACCTCTCCTCACTTTCCCCAGGTAGAAAAAAAATAGAGGGAATTCTTCTGAAAGGAAGGAGTTAGAGGGTTTATCTTTCTTAAAAGAGATTTATAGATATTTGCCAGAGAAACCTACTGGGAGGGAGCAGTGGTAAGCAGTTTGGAATCAAGAAGAGAAAGTAGCACCAGTGAGTAGTAGGATGCTTTGTGCTATTGTTTTGACACATCTCATTTTAAAATAATAAAAGGCATAGCCAGAATTCCTACGACATATATGTTCCCAGGAGAACTCTGATATTGCATCTTTTCCAGTTTTATAGCAAAACCTGACATAGCATCAAAATGGAGCATATTGCTGAAACCACAGGGAGAACTGGGCTGTAGGACAGTAGGCATCAGGCAGAATGAAGCATAATCTGACTTTTCCACCTTGTTATAAACTTATGCAAACAAAACCAACAGAAATAAGATAGGCTGCACCACCTGCATTTAGACTCAGTAACCCTGGCTACCAGGTCCTACAGACACAGAGAGTAATAAGTAACTCATTCACAGCAGGAAGGTATAGCAGCAATGTTTAGCTGAGATTGTTGACTTCTGGTTGACAGGGCTATACTGGGAAAGTTCTTGTAAGTAGGCAGTTAGCACTGTGTTCTGTGTCTACTGATGATCATAAAAAGTTCTGGCAGTTTAAGTTTTACAGAATGAGTGCTCTGATAAAAAAA